AAAAAGACAACAATTTTGACTTTAAAAGGTATATTGCAAGAGGATATATACAATGTGATGTGACCCTCAAAAATGCAAAAGGAGGCAGGTAGTACACACCTGTAATCCTAGCACTTGGGAGGCTGAGACAGGAAGAGAGGGTTATTTTCCACCCTCTTTCTACATTTTGAAAGTCACCCCTTGGTTAAGGTCTTAACTGCCACAGTGCTTCATGGAAAAGATGAAGCTTTTCTTTTGTAATTAGTAAAATAATAAACATTTTTAAATCTCTGGAGTGATATTCTGGTATCAATATTGTGTCTGCCATCAACATTTCATCCAATATTTTCAGCATCCAGAAGTCTTTCTAGTATTAATAGGAATATTTTCTGACCAATTTTTAATATATTTATTTTTAAATTGACTAGTTTAAAAATTTTAAATTACAAATAGAGCATATTAGGCTGTTGGCCAAAAGTCCTCCACTCTCTTCTATCCCTCATTAACAATTTTTCATATTTCCTTTCTAAAATTTAAGACTCTTGACAAGAACACAAAACCATAAACTACAAAAGAGAATTGGGCCGGGGATTTAGCTCAGTGGTTCTGCTGCCTGCCTTGCAAGTGCAAGGTCCTAAGTTTGATCCCTGGTACCAAAAAAAAAAGAGAGAGAGAGAATTAAATAAGTGCCTTAATAGAATAGGAATATATTCAGAGGTTTCAACAAGGGACTTTTTTTTCAGATGGGAAGGAGATACTGGAGATAGTGTACCTGGGCAGTGGGAATGAGTGTCTTAAAGTGTAAGGAAAATTCCTGTTGTGCCCAGATCGCGAGGTCCCCAAAGACCACCAAGGAGCCGATTCCGATGCAAACACACGAGGGTCGTTTATTCAAGCTCGAGCAGGGACTCTCATCCAACACCGACGCAGTGGGTCAGGGTTGAGAGCCTCGACTCTAAAACACCAGGGGTTTTTATAGAGGTTACAGCAAGGTGTGGGGTTTCAAAAAGGCGCGGGGTTTCAAATCACGCAAATCACACAATTGGCTAGCATTTAGCAAGTTTTGAAAGTTTAAACCAAATTGGTTGGGCCTTGCGCGCTGAACTGCAAACGGCTGCTCAAGTCATCGAAAAGAACATCTGGGATACTGGGGTATTGGGGTAACTACTGATTAGCTGTTGCAGACCATCGAAAAGAGCAACTGGGACACTGAGGCAGCTACTGATTGGCTGTTGCTAGGCTAGTTGCTAGGAGACTGCTGAACATTATCACAGGCAGGTGGCCAAAGTGCATCTTGCGGTTTTTCTTGGAACTAGAATTTATGTCCAGCCACCTTACTCTAAAATGGGGCCAAATTTTAAAATGGAGTCACTCAGGTCTCACATTCCACTACCTAAAACAAGTGGGGGGAAGGGCTGAAAGAATATTATGATTGAAGGAACGTAGCAGAACAATGGAGACAGCTCCTGCTGCCTTACAAGAGCTGATTATTAATTTTTGAAGAATTTTTGTGAACAGTTGTTATGCACAGCCATTACTAAAAACTTAAATTGTATAAATCTCTGTGTCTTAGTTACTTTTCTCCTAGCTGAGAAAAATACCCAACTCCCACAAGTTAAGGGAGGAAAGGTTTATTTAGCTCAGTTTGTAGAGGTTTCAGTCCATAATCTGTTGGCTCCAAGACAGGGTGGCACATGGCAGAGGGGCAACACTTCATGGCGGACCAAAGGTAGCAAAACAACAAGGGACCTTAACAGTGTCTTTCTGCCTCCTTTATCTTATCCAGACTACTTAGGATGTGTAGCACTCACCCCTTAGTCCTAGGCCTTTGAGCCTAGCATTTCACTATGAATCACTTCCAGTGTCACACACTCTAGATCCAAACACCTCTGAAAAACCCACCTATGAGCACATGAGGCTTTGGGGGACATTTATACACAAGCCAGGACACTCTACTATAGTAAAGAAAAAATAATAACTATTTAAAGCTCATCACTTTCTAATTACTTTTACTACATCTTACTATTACCCATGCTCTTGAGGTTATTTGTCCCTGTTATATCTGTATGATGGAAATAGTGATCATGTAGTGGTGTGCTATGCACATCCCTTCTCAACTCCACATTCAGTGGCCTTATGTTTGTAGTTTGAAATAGGTCACAGTGAGGGTACTTATACCATGGAAATATCACCAAACACCACAAACCAGGGCTTGAGCCTTGACCATGATATGGAAAAGTTTTAGATAACTTAATAGATTGAATATTAAGGTAGTTGTAGAAGCAAAACAAGTAATGTGCTCCTTTAAGATTTGCTTTTCTTATAACTCCTTGTTTAAGGTGATGGCTATCTGACTCTAAAGGGTAACTTCATTAACCTAAGGAAGTTACCAAGCCAGGGTGAATTTACAATGTATATGTGCCTATCTTGTGTCTGTGACTTGTAAATAGGAACTGGAATTGTATTTACACATCAAAGACCACTAGGGTTGAGATAATGGCTAAAAAGGATATAAAAAGGGAAACCCTGAACAAAGAGGGCGGGGATACTAGCCAGACCGGTTTCTGGCGTTCCGTTCCGGCCTGCTTGTGAGAAGAAATTTTATTATTTTATCTGAATTCTGTGTCTCCGTGTATTTCTTTCTGAGATTTCTGCTACAACTGTTGTTTTATTGTTTGTCTAGACTTAATAGAAGTGATGGAGAAAACGTTAATGATAAAGATTAAATTTCAAAATGTGTTATGTCTGTAGGTGTACATTGTGAATAGCACCCCAAATTTTTGAGTAAATATTCTTCCAGTATTCAAAAACTAGTATTTAACTTAGCAAAGAAGTTGATCACATCATTGTTGAAAGAATAAAGTTCTAATATATGTCTTAGTTGTTGTACTGTCTTCTTATTCCTTAACAAAATATCAAGCAGCAGTCATGGAATTGTACTTGTTCTTCAATTATAACTAGTTACTATGGATGCAAAAGTTCAGCAAAAATTTTAAAAATGCATTCTACGTGAATCAAGTGGCTGTATGGAATTTACAACAGAGAATATTTTATATTTTAAATATTTGTATAATTACAGGATCCTTTTGCGGGGGGGGGGGTACCGAGGATCAAACTCAGGTCCTTGCACTTTCGAGGCAGGCAGCAGAACCGCTGAGCTAAATCCCCGGCCCCTACAGGATCCTTTTTAACACACACACACATATGGCTGCCATGGACTGAATTGTGTCCTCCACCCTGCCCCCCAAATTGTTATGTTGAAGCCATAACCCCTAATGTTTGGAGATAGGATATTTAGCAGGTAAATAAGGTCATAAGGTTCAAGTCATAACCCTTATCAGATTTCAAACACATTCCACACCCCCACACCTCTGCTGAGCATCCAGCTGCCTTCAAGCCAAGAGAAAAGGCCACAAAATGAAGCCACATCGCTGATAACTTGATCTTGTATTTTCAAGCCTCTGGTGTAGACCTATGAGGAAAAAGATGGCATTTTATTATGGCTCTTTGAGCTGGCACACACATGAACATACATGCACTGACAGAAATAATTATAAGAAATATTAGAAAGTGATAAGTACTATAAAAATATGGACTGACACTTGAGAGAAAGTGAGGACCTGACTTTGGGCAACAACCTTAGAAAAAGAGATATTTACTCAATTATAAGAGAGTGCCATTTGACTTTGGGGCTGCAGCTGACTAGCACGTAGACTGCCCAAAGTCCTGAAGGATAAACACAAACCTGAGACAGCAGGAGCATGATAGGTTTGTGCTTTTTCCAGTGGCATACCAGATGGCCTATTGGTTTTTAGTCAGCTCCTTTTCTCTACTCCCTTAGTGTTTGATTCTCAGTCCACTGCTCTTCTGATGCATTCTTCTCTACATCTCTTCTCTAGGTCTCAGCAGATTATCTTTTCTCTGCTACACACCTAATCAGTTACCAAATCTTGAAAGTTACCTCTAAGCCATCTTTCCTCTTCACTTCCTTCACAAACCGCCTCAATCCAAAATCTCCCTTCTAGATGTATGTAACACTCTCCCAACATATCTGCGGGCTTCCTTTCTGATCATCCTCAACCCTGTTGTCAGAGTGATTTTTCTAAGTCTGAGATATTACACTCCTGCTTCAAATTGTACCATGGCTCTCTGGTACAAAATCAGATTCAGATTCTTTGCTTAGCACATCCTTTTCTGCATTTCTATCCCAAATGTTTTTACAGTTCTCTGACTAGTACCTTCTTTCTGTTCATACTGAGCTAATTCTCAGTCCTAGTACTTCATGACTGGTATCTTCTTTCTGTTCATACTGAACTAGATCTCTGTCCTACTATTTCTTGTGCTTTCTGTTCCTCTATCTCCAATCTTCTTCTGCTGTCACCCAACTTCTTCTTATCCTTTACAATTTAGGGCCAGAATTATCTTTTCCAGGAAACCTCCTGAAGCACCTTGTGCTCCCTGAAATTAACTCAGCCTCTCACCGTATTATAAGAGTTTAATGTTGTGATTTCGGCTTACTCGTTGCTCTCATTCAGTTTGTGTCATAGTCATCTTTTTCCTTTGGGGGGGGCGTTAACTGGGGATCAAACTCGGGACCTTCCCCTTTTGAGGCAGGCGGCGAAACCATTGAGCTAAATCCCCGGCGCCCTCATAGTCATCTTTTTATCCTCCATGCTAAACACAGAAACTACCACATAGCAGACTTGGTAAGATTTGTTGAAAAATTTTTAGAAGTTGAACAACAGGGCTCATGGAAGGAGAAATCAAAGATGCTTCTGAGTCCTCTATATTAGGGAGTGCAGAGATTTTGTGGTTTGAACAGGAGCAGGGAGGATCATTCTTGTGCCTGAGACGAGGCAAAATTTGGCCAGTCTTATTTCTTAGTTTACTGAGCCAATGACTGACTAGCAGGACAGGTGGAGCCGAAAGGAAGATAAAAACTACACTTCCCGTCATGCCTTTGGACACCGCTCCCGTTTGCCCTCACAGTTACCGTCTCATCCCCACGGAAGTGAAAGGAGTACTTCCGGGTTCGGCAATACTGGGAGGTGGCGGCATTAGGCAGTCATTTAGGGCCTTGCTCTAAAGCTCTGCCTTCGCTTCGGTCTTTCTAGAAAACCCGCTTTGATCTCGGCGTTGCGGGACAGGTATTTCCTGGCCGCTGTGGGTGTTTTTGGAGCAGTGTGTTGCACCGGGGTCGGCGATACCTTGTACTCAGGAGTCTCGGAGCTCCCGCAAGGCGAGACGAGCCTGTGGCACCCGGCGAGGAAGCCGGTTTCCCGGGTCGTGGCCCCAGCGCTGACGTTCTGTCACTTCACTCCGCGATTACACCGTCGCAGGCGCGAATTTGTCTCCAATGGCTGATACGACCCCAAACAGCCCCCAGGGGGCGGGCGCTGTGGTGAGTGAGCAGGGTCGTCTGGCTTGATTTGCAATAGTTCGGAAGCAGCAGGAAGTGTTGCGAGGTTCCAAGGTGTTCCAGAAGCTCCGAGATTTCTGGACCGGAATTAGTGAGGGGGATTGGGGGTGGGTGTAAATGAGAGCTCCAAAGTTTGTTTCTGAAGCGACCGTGGACTGGCCTGGAGCAGGTGACCCCCACCACCACCACCACCCGTGTGCCAAGGAAATGGAGCCTTCCTGCCTCTTCCTACTGTCCCTCTCTGATAGTCCTAGATCCCAAGGTTGGAGATGCCATTCTTGGCGCACCCGCGTGCTGACAGAGAACCTTTGTTTCTCATTTTATATCATATAGAAAGTACGCAAAAAGCGAGTGGTCTGCTTTTTTTCTTTTTCACTTTTTATTTATGAAAAGAAATATCATTACGCTTTTGTAAATTTTTTAATTTTTAAGATACAGATCTGCAGCTTTCCAGTTATTTGTACCGGAGCATTATTTTCTTTTAGTTTTAAAACTGTGTTTGTGAATTGGGCAAGTTTTCTTTTCTTAATTGCAACATTCTTGTTTACACACTTTAATTTTGCTGACCCATTTGAGTTAGTCTTGTTAACCCAGAATGCTTTGGTGTTCTTCCACGTGCCTACAATGCAGTTATCACATTTGGGAAATTTAAAATTGATACGTTATTACCTAATGTGCAATCCATGTTCAAATTTCATTAATTGTTCCTTTAAAGCCGCTTCCTCCACAATTTATCCAAAAAGCATGCATTGCATTTACTGGTCATATCTCTTTAGTCTATTATAATCCAAAACAGTTGCTCTGACCTCATCCCTTTTGTATCTTTCAAAATACAGATAGTTTTCAAGAGTGTAGACTTGCATTGCAGAATGCTTCTCACATTGGAGTTACATAAGTAATATTGTGTTCTTTCTCAGTGCATATATGAGGCATTTCGTATTGATTAATTCTGTGTTGGGAAATTTGTTTGATTATTTGGTTAAAGATGATGTCCATCAGTTTCTCCACTGTAAAGACCTTTACTTATTTATAATTGAAAGGTACTCCACAGCTCGAGAGTGACACTTTGTGACTGTCTTGCTCCTCAACAGTTTTTCATCCAAATATCCATTAATATTTTTTGCCTGTAAAACATTACTAGCCATGGAGGTTGGGATAGTTCACTCTGAAAAATGTAAACCAGTTATACCTTTTTAAATTTTTTTTTATTTTGTAATAGAATGCACATCTGTAAAATTGTACCAAATTGCATACCTCAGTCATTTATTGCAGAATAAACACACTACACAAATAGATTTTAAAGAAAATGTTAAATTTTAAACTATGATGTAGAGTTTGGATATTTGTAGAGAATTTGAGCATAGTAAGCTAAATTCATCCTTTCACTTAACTGCTACTAGTCTTCTAAATTTAGGAGAATTATAGTGTGATAAGTGTGGCTAGAATAAATCAGAGACATATTTCGTATTTGTGAATTACTTTCATGTGGTTAAGAAGACATACAGTAAAATGTCTTCGAATTTGAAAATGTACTTGTGTTTTCTTTCAAAAAATTTACATTTTTTCTCCAAAATGGAGTTAAATTGCTTTAAGCAGTACTTTTTTTAGTTTATAAAAACATGAAAATATTCATTTAACATTTAACAAAAAAGCCACATGTAAATACACATTAAATCTTTAGAGCACTTTCAATTGCAGTTTTGAACCTCAGACCAAATACACTGATTAATTCATAATTTCTTCCATAATTTACTTTTATTTTTACAAATTATACCATGATAAAACTTGACAGAAGTTATGCATGTGAAACAATTTCCATTAACATTGTGTTAGTTAATGAGGTCCATACCATAAGAGATTTTGTTGCTGTTGCTGTTTGCACAGGAGTTCTCATGATTTTAGCATTATACAACTTGAAGCTGAGATTGCATTCAGAAATAAGTTTAGAAAATGGCTTTACAAAAAAAAAAAAAGAAAAAGAAAATGGCTTTACAAAAGACTGAGAGTGAGCTGTAAAAAACCTTATGCAGGGATGCCAGGCTGAAGAAGTCTGCTATTTTCACTGCTACAAGTCTTCGGTGTGGCCAAACTTAAACACCAGTCCTCCAAAAAATATGAAGACATTTTGGAAGAATACAGCAATTCCAGGATATACTATGAGTTTTTCCTTAGCAACATAACCTCCAAATAGAATTCACACAGATGCAACCAGAGATCCAAAGGCCAGCATGAAACCAATGAACAGCCCAATGCAAGCACCTGTTTGACTCAGACAACCTTCACTATAATTATCACTCCAGACTTGTTCATGTGATACTGCATTAATCATTAAGAAGGCTGTGGTTGCTATAACACCACAGGCATTGTGTGAGTGGTTGAACTCTTCCACACTAGGATAAAGAACAGTTCCATCTGTGATAACCCAGGAGCCTGTGAAAAACAGAACACCAGCAGAGATGAAAGCAACAATATTGTGCTTTTCCCCCCCAGTCAGTGCATTCTAAGCATCTCAGACCTTCTAGAAATCCAGACTTAAGTGCAGTCCAGCCCTAGGCTGGAGATCTGGTGCCCGGTGCAGGGCTGCCTCACTCCTAAAGCATTTGAGTGGAAGCACCAGCTATTTAAAAAAAATAGAAAATACCAAAGTCCATCATACATACTAAGGATAAATGCTATTTTGTGAAATTATTTTATACACCCATGTATGTTTCTGTTGGATCATGATGTTAAATATTGTTGAAAATGTGAAAGTTTCCTTATATATTGTAAAACATCTTCATGTTAAAACAGACTTTAAGATAGTCTTGCTTCGTTCGGTAGTAATGGACCCACATGGGAATACAGCAAAGGAAAAGACAAAAAAAAGAAGTGGAGAAGAAAATGGTAAATGGAAGTTTAATTTAGTGCCATTGAAACTAGTGTAAAACTTACGGGAGAACTTTGAGGGAATACAGAGTTATAGAAGAGAAGCAAGTATCATTTAATACCTGACAACTATATTTTAAGTACTTTAGGTAGGCTAGGCCCTTCTGTATATCTTCCATAAACTAAGAAGTTTGATAGGAACAGTTACCATGGTTTTCCATTTCTCTTTTCAGATGAGATGTTAGGGATTTAATTACCCCATCTCTTTTTTTTTTTTTTTTGTACCCGGGATCAAACTTGGGACCTTGCGCTTGTGAGGCAGGTGGCAGAACCACTAAGCTAAATCCCCGGCCCTCCATTTTTCTTTTAAAAGATTTATTTAATCCAAATTGGATTTATACAATGCCTTCTTACTCAGCTCAGGGACAAACCTATTTGGATTTGAGATTTTTCTAAGAATAGGCATTAAATTTCCCTTGAGAGCAATTAGTTCTTATTTAATGTTTTTTAAAATAGATGAACCAGAATTGTGTTGAAGGAACATAGCCAACTGTAAATTTTTCAGTTTTTTCTAAATTTTTTCAAAAATTTTAAAATATCAACTGATATTTTTCTGTTTAAGTACTTCCTATGCTTTCCACATCAAAACTACAGAGTATTTGGACTTATCATTACACATCCAAGTTGAAACAGTTAATAAGTTTTCATTTAATAATCTAAAAACAAATGTTACCTGTTTGTTAAAAATATTTTTAATAGGATAACAATTTTATGCTCTTTATTCTTAAAAGCTTAATTTGCAGGTTTAGATTACTACAATATTTTTCTTTTTAAATCTAGCAATTCATGATGACCAATAAACTGGATACAGCAATGTGGCTTTCCCGATTATTCACAGTTTACTGCTCGGCTTTGTTTGTTCTGCCTCTTCTTGGGTATGTATTATATGTTTCTGACTTTGATAAGCCAGTTGTACGGGAAGTTTATGAAATTCTTTCAGCTGTAAGAATTACTAAACAGTAAAGAGTTTAGGGACAGATAAAACAATACCCATTTAAAATCACTAATCAAAAAATCATTTATAACCTGGTAATCAGTTGGAGAAATACGTAATATCTTGTTTTGTATCTTGTGATTTGTGAAATGAACATCACATTGAAAATCTGAAGAAAAATAAGATGTATAGAGATGGAGTGAGTTCATGGTTCCTGAATTTTTTTTAACTTGATAGGAAAAATTACTGTTTTATAAAATTCAGTTGAGCATATATATAAAGAGATACTTCTAAGAAGGTAGAATAGGTTAAAGTAATTTTCTATGTTGGCAATTAAATGATTTAGATGTTGTGCAATTCTGATGCAACTCACAAAGGAGGAAGAGACATGGTGGTTGTTTATGTCTCATGATAACTTCTCCTCTGATAATTTGCAGGTTACATGAAGCAGCAAGCTTTTATCAACGTGCTTTGCTGGCAAATGCTCTGACCAGTGCTCTGAGACTGCATCAAAGATTACCTCACTTCCAGTTAAGCAGAGCATTCCTGGCACAGGCTTTGTTAGAGGACAGCTGCCACTACCTGTTGTATTCACTCATCTTTGTCAATTCTTACCCTGTTACAAGTATCCTTCTCTACTCTTTTGACAGTGAAATTACCAGCTAAGCATTTGGGAGGTCTCTTTATATTTTGATAGGAAGGATTCAGTAATGAGAATATTCCATGAAGCATCGGTTTGTTCGCTTTTTGGCATTTCATTTCTATGAGAAGGATATGTTTAATGTAAACATTTCTGACCCTGTTATTTAAAATCTAAACATTGAAGAGCTGATTGGGAATTTAAACTTTGTCAGTGTTGTCTATATTAGCAATGGATGTTTAAAAACTTATATTCACATGGTAATATGGGCCTGTAATCCCTGCACTCCGGGAATCTGAGGCAGGCAGAGTGCAACTTTGAGCCCAGCATAGGCATTTGAGCAACTTAGCAAGACCCTGTCTCAAAATACAAAAAAAAATGGGCTGAGGACGTAGCTTAGTGCAAAGGCTCTTCGTTCAATCCTCAGTACTGCACATATACAAAAAATTCAGATTCAGACCACAAGCTCACATAGGACTTTTAAATATTTGAAAATTTCTTTCATTTAATTCTTATATTTGGGAAAGTATCTGGAGCTCTTGCTTCCAAAAAGAAAGATCCTGAGCTTGTTCCCTTCTTACCACCCAGTAAGTTAGAAATAAATAAAAACCAATCAAGAAATAATAAAAAGAATATTCATTATATATAAAGTAGGAAAAGAGGACACACACGGGTAACCCATGTAGCTACTGAAAATTTAATAATTCATTTGGAATTTGTGTTTTCACATTCAGAAGCGTGTTGTAGAATGATAAAATTGAAGTTAATCCAAAAAAGGGAGTTCTAAAACTCAGTATGTTTACAAAGCAGTAAGTTAAACATTTTAAAAATAGGGTTATTACAGGATTTTTATACATTGTGAGAGTACAAGAGTTATCAGTCTTTCTTTTTTTTTCCCTGTAGATCATCCCTCTGGAAATGACACCATTTTGTGCTTTTTGAAGTGTTGCTCTAAGAGTGTTTGAATTATACATAATGGAAAACACAATAAACTATTTCTGCAAGATTAAATATTACTCATTTACAAGAATAATGCCTATGCCTGTAAAGCTTCAAATTTTAAACAAACTTTTTTTTTTTTTTGGTGTTCAGGATTGAACTCAGGTCTTTATACATGTCAAACATATTCTCTACCAATGAGCTACAAATTCATCCCCTAAATAGACTTAATAAGTGTTAGAGAAATTAGAAGAGAAGGAAACTCAAATTTCCTGTGCATCTCAATATTATATATAGGAACTTGGCATATTTAATCCTAGGTGTAGTTTGAAAAAAATTATTGTGTTACACTCAAAACTTTGGCTGGTAAACAGTAATGCTGACAAGATCGTTCCTATTTAAAAGGCCTACCTAATTAATAATTAGTGGGCAATATTTAAGTGCAATGTGTTTTTGTGGTACTGAAGATTAGACTCAGATACTCTACCACTGAAGACCTCTCCAACCTTTTTTTGATTTTAATTTTGAAAGTATCTTAAGTTACTCATGACCCTCCTGTCTCAGCCTCCCACAGGTCTGGGATTACAGTTGTGTACCACTGCAGCTGGCTGTAGTTTCAAAATATTTCTGTCTTGACCTAGGTAGAGCCAGTAACCACTTACTACATGTGTATTAAGTGAAGATTTTGTTTAAAGTTCTTATTTTGGGACATAGGAGTAAAGCTTTTTGTGTTTTAATGTATGGGTCTATAATGTCACAGCATAATTTGTATTTGATTATTTTTTGGTGAAACTACATGATTGTTGTACTACAACTCTGTTTATTTGGCTATCATTGGCTTGACTAGCTTTTCTTATACTCATTCATTGAGGAGCTTTGCAATCACAATTTTTTAAATTCTTGGTTTTCTGAGATACTATGGGAAGATACATAAAGGTTCTTATTTATGCCTTTTCATAGCTTAAAATTTCCTTGGAGAGAGAAACAGAAGTGAAAGAAAATGTACTCTAGATAATTAATATAGAGCAAATTGAATACATCAGTACTGAACTCTGGGACAGTGCTTGGCACAGATCGGTGCTCAGTATGTTTTGTAGGTAATGATTTTTTTTTTTGGAACTGGGGATTGAACTTGGGAACTTGCACTTATGAGGCAGATGCCAGAACCACTGAGCTAAATCGCAGGCTCAGTATGTTTTGTTGAGTGAATCCTCCAGTCATACAAGTGAGACTGTGACCGTGCAGACAACCTGTCTGCCTCTTCTCTATGATTGGTTATTTGCTAACCTGTCTCATGGGACTATTGAAGACTAAGGATTTCGTATTCCCTGCATTCTTTATGGGAGGAGTGGCAAGCAGTGGGAATAACAAATACTAATCTGATTCCTAAGGAAGTTAGGTGAGGGTGATAATTTTACCTGCTCTGTTAATGATAAGTACAGGTACCTAGGGTTAAAATTGTTCTTTACAGCCCTTACCATTTCTGAATAGTTTAAAAAGTGACACTGAAAGCTAAGATGAGTCTCTTGTTATGGGTTTGTGAACTATAAAATATTAGAGATGGATTTGTGAATTGTACAATATTTGAGATGAACAGCTCATTAGAAATCTCTAGCTTTGACCTGTATGTAGTCTTTTTTTGGTTTACTGGCCTTGAACTGGATAGTTAGTTCAAGCTGGTCTTAAACTTATTTGAAAGAGGATGAAACAGTCTAGGAAAATGAATGGGTGACAGAGCCAGAACTGAAACCCACGTACCTCAACTCCCAACTCAGGGTTCTGTTTCACTACCTGACACTACCTCTGTTATTGAATCAGTCTTCAAGTCTAGATATATGTTGAAATTTAAATTTGATTATTTAAACTGCAGTAGAGTTTCACAGCAGCCTTAGGAGAGCATTATAGCTTCCATCAGTTTTGAAGGGGTGTATCTGTGATTCATTAAAATGTTTGAGACTATATTTTCGTGAGTGTATGTGATTTCTACTCAGAAAATTGGCATTTTACCTAATTTGTGCGAGTAGTAAGAACTGGTCAGAATATTAATTTGGAGAATTAGTATATTATTAGAGAATTAGATTTTTTCCTAATACTTGGATATGTGCCCACCAATTAGAAATTAGAAAATTTGGAGTCCTAAATGAGTTGTGGTTATAATGAATTTGATACTCAGATTATAGCAGATTATAGCAGTCACCATTTCCCACCTAGGATGGAAGGCCTGCATCTAGGATAGAAAAATATGATTCATTTCTTAGAAACTGCTAGTATTTTTGTCATTCATGATTAACAGTATCATTTCATGGAAATACTTGCCAAGTTTTGTTGTTGTTGTTTATCAGCCTGTCAGTAATTGGGGTGGTAAATGAGATCTTTTGAGCAATTTCTATTTTTCAAAAAGCTGAATGAAAAATATATATTTATCCATGGCATAAAGCCAAACCATTGGGCTTAAATATAAGGATTTTGTGTTTATGTCTGTACTTAATCTTTTGTTGTTGTTGTTTTGTTTGGTTTTTTCGGTACCGGGGATCGAATTCAGGTCCTTATGGTTGTGAGACAGGCAGGGTGCCAGTGAGCTAAATCCTCGGCCCTGGCCTGGGTTTTAGTTGTTTTTTTTTTGGTACTGGGGATGGAACTCGGGTCCTTGAGCTTGCGCAGCAGGGGGCGAAACCACTGCGCTAAATCCCCGGCGGTTTTAGTATAATTTGGCAGCTGTTTGCAGTGCTTTAGTAGCCAGTAGAAATAAGTGAGAAAAACTTTTCTTTGTCTTTTTTTCTTCATAAAAAATGGTGAGTTTGGGCCAGGGATTTAGCTTAGCGGTTCTGCCACCTGCCTTGCAAGCTCAAGGACTCGAGTTTGATCCCTGGTACCAAAAAAACAAAAACAAAAACAAAAAAAATGGTGAGTTTTAGAAAGTGAAATATTTCTTTTTTAATAAATAACAAAACTATTTGATTTAAGGTATGTCAGTAAAACAAAAGCATTGCACTGAACTCATTTTGTAGGTGTTTCAGATCTGTATATTTGGACATAATGCATAACTTATTTTGCAAAATACTTAATGACTTGTAAATATTTTCCTTAATTTTTTTCTTCAGTGAGTATTTTCCCAGTCTTGTTATTCTCTTTGCTTCATGCTGCCACATACACTAAAAAGGTCCTTGATGTAAGTAAAACTATGCTGTTTCTTTGACTCCTGGATTATAGGTAGTTGACATAAGTTTGAATTCTAAGACCTTTTTTTGTCAGAGAATTCCTTTATTCCTTACAAACTTGTAAAAATTATTTAGTGATTTGAAAATTTTGAGTTTGGAAGATTTTATTATTGAAGTGGCACACACACTTTGTAAGATAAAGGATTGAACTAAAAGTTACTCCCCACCCAATTCCCAGAGGATTTCCTGAAATCTGAAACAGATCACTTTGTTATTTAAAATTTTGTATCTTTTAAGCTTGATGAGTTCTGTAAGTATATAACTCTAACATAACAGGTAAATAAGCATATACTGAGCATATTCTTTTTTACATTAATGTTAAGAACTGCTGTTCTCCTGAAATTTTTATTGCTGAATTGGAACATTAAGCTTAACTAAAGTGTCCTAGGAGGATTATTGCATATGCACTGAAATTTGAACTAAAATATCCCAATTTGTGCCTTTCATTGGCCTTTTTCTTTATCTTATAATTCTTTGGTTATAGTAGCAATTAGTTCTCCTTAATTTCTACTGTTAGCTAAGGAGCCATATATTTGACTTGTATTACTGGATAGTCAGATTTTTTGTTCTGATTGGAAAGAGATAACCACCATTTTTTATTAAAAAATATTATCTTTAAAAATAGCATCTAACAATGAAAAGTACTTTTTTAAATGTGTTTTTGGTTGTCTTCAACTACACAAAATAAAACAAGATACACTAATGTCCTTCTTTAGTTTGTAAACTTTTTTATGATCATTTTCAAATGATTGGCTTATGGTAATATTATCTGTTGGATATACTGGCTGCTGTTTTAAAGAAAATATTGTCAGGGGCCAGGATTTAGCTCAGTGGTTCCGGTGCCTGCTTGGCAAGCACAAGGTCCCAAGTTCTATCCCCAATACCAAAAAAAAGAAAAGAAAAGAAAATATTGTCAGCACTCAGTATCCCTGGGGTCTGCATCTGTGGATTTAACCAACTGCAGACTAAAAGTTCTTGCCAAAAAAATTGTGACTGTTCTGAATACACACAGACTTTTATTGTCATTTCTAAACAATACAGTGTAACTTTTTACATAGCATTTACATTATACTAGGTATTATAAGCAATCTGGAGATGATTTGAAGTATGAGAGGATGGATGTATGTAGGTTATATGTAAATAGTTTGTCATTTTAAATAGGAGTCTTGAGTATCTGCAGATTCTGGTATCTGAGGGGTGTCCTAGAGGTAATTCCCATGGAATACTGCAGGATGACTGTAATTGAGTTGCCAAAATACTTCATTATTTGTAATGTTTGTTTTCTTTTGTTTTAGGCAAAAGGTTCGAATAGTTTACCTCTGCTGAGAGCTGTCTTGGATAAATTAAGTGCTAATCAACAAAATATTTTGAAATTCATTGCTTGTAATGAAATTTTCTTGATGCCTGCTACAGTTTTTATGCTCTTTAGGTAAGAATAAAAATATATCTGTTTTTGGAACACTGGTAAGTGAATATAATAAAGATATTAACTCAAGTTTTATGTTGGTTGAATCAGTTGAAGTGTAGATATTGACATGTAGAGCTAGATGGATCTTTTTTCTTGTTGTTAAATTCTTTTATTGGTACATTGTAGGTATACAACACAATTACATTTCTCATTGGGAACTTGTACCTTTACATGATGCATCTTG